ATTTTATTTTATTTTATTTTATTTTATTTTATTTTATTTTATTTTATTTTATTTTGTGTTGTGTTTTTCAAGACAAGGTTTCTCTGTGTAGCCCGGACTATCCTGGAACTCACTCTGTAGACCAGGCTCATCTCAAAATCAGAGATCCACCTTCCTCTGCCTCATAAATACTGGGATTAAAGGCCTGTGTCACCATGCTCAGCATAAAGACCATTTTAATTACTCTCGAAAGAACCTAAAGTATCCATGGATCATCCTCATGAGTGTTCCCCTGAGGATAGCGAGAGGGTCTGCTTCAAGTTCTACAAACTACCCAATTTCCAACCACTAACCAGAGTTTTTATAAGAGAGTCTTTCTTTGAAGAAATCTTTCTGGGGGGGAGGGGCTGAGAACAGAATGAACAAGAAGAAAATGAGACACAGACTCTTATTCTTCCTCCTAATTACTCCCCTTTTATGATGTCAGTTTCTCCAAAAATCAAGATTCCTTTAGGACTCCGCACTCTATCTCCTCAGCCATCTAAAGGCTGTGTTTGACAATGCCAGACACTCAAACACCACCACTAAGCTGGAATTTCACATTGGGGAAGATATGGATTTCCTGTACTGCATAAAATGTAGAGCCCTTAGCTCTATGTCAAACCTATGAAATCAGAATTGGGGTACAGTGGGACCTGAGAATGCTGTTTAAAAGAGTTCCTGGGTTGGGTGGCTCTTAGATTTTTACAAAGATTGAGGTCCATTGCCTGACACTTGATGCCCTCCCTCCTCTGACAAGGTTAGTTCCTTTGTTTTGTAGGTAAATGACAGCAACTTCTGCCACATTAGTTGGATATACACTTAGAGGCAAATCAGACATGGATGCTCAAAGGACATTAAGAATAAGGCCTAAAGATAGGCCTAGTATTATTAGGAAAAGGAAGTCTGAAATGAATGTAGCTGTTTTACTCACAATAAATCAAGGGCTCCTTCGAAGGTGCTATAGCAAAGGAGGTAGAGATGAAGAAAGTCCTGGAAGTACTAATGGACAAGAACAGGGAAAGTTTGGCTAAATTCCAAGACACAGGTCAGTGCATGGCTTGCATTTGTCTTGCCTTTTGTAACATGCTCTGGCTGAGTACTGATGTTTTCAGGAACAGAACAAATCTATTAAAGGAAAGGAAGGCCATAGGTACCATTAACATACTATTGCTGAGTTGCTTTCTGCTTTTACACTCCCTATAAAATATAAGGTATAGCTTAGGTCACATGGAATATTCGAGCTGTCTTTCTGTCTTTTGGGAAGGTCTCCTCCTTGTCTCCAAAGCTACATGACAAGGCTCATAAGGTAGACAGTCCCCAGGATACTTCACAAAGACGCTGAGACTTCCCATCAGCATGGGGCTGTACTTTCCAGTTGCTGGGAGCTAAAGGCTCCTCCTTCAACATTTGTGATGGCTCAGAATCTTAGACATGGAGATTCTCTGTTCTTTTGAAAGTTAAACAAGGATCAGGTGGAGTTCAGTTAAGAAGCAAGTCTAGAGCCTTGTTCGTTCCTGGCATACCAGAGGAGAAACCATGATGAAATCAGTAAAGACAGGCTCTAAAGCTAGCTTTCCATTTTCTTCCAATCCAGTCCCCTGAGAAGCTGACCTGGCTTCTCTACCTTGGTGACTCCATTTGCACTGAGATTTGCTATCTATTTCCCTCCCCTATCACCCATGGCATGAGACAAAGAGAGTAAACTTTGAAGTAAGGGAGACCTAGACATTATCCTGCCTGTCATTAACAAGCTGGACATATTAGATTGCTTTTTCAGTGGAAGGCATTTGTCCTGGGTATACGAGAGACAGGGTCTGCCTCATGAGACGAACACAAAGCTTCAAGAGTGATGATTAAGCAGTTTTTAGCTCTGGACACTTAGTGTACTTTTATTATATACCAGTCTTCCAAATTCAAACTCCAAATGCTTCCTAAATAGCTAGAAGTTATTGAATGGACTAGAAGAATTAGGAGCAGAAAAGGACCCTGCAAGAGAACAAGTATAGGCATTTTACTGACTTTTGGAATATAAGTTAAGAAAGGCAAGAGTTTGAAAGCAGGTTGGGGTGGTGTTTTTTTTTTATTTTATTGGATATTTTCTCTATTTACATTTAAAATGTCAACCCCTTTCCAGGTTTTCACCTCCCCCAGAATCTCCCTATCCCATCTCCCCTCCCTCGGCTTCTATGAGGGTGTTCCCCTACTCACTCACCCACTCTGGCCTCCCTGCCCTTGAATTCCCCTACACTGGGGCATTGAGGAACAGGAACAAGGGCCACTCCTCCCATTGATGTGGACAAGGCCATCCTCTGCTACATAGACAGCTGGATCCAAGGGTCCCTTTGTGTGTAGTCCTTGGTGGTTTAGTCCCTGGAAGCTCTGAGAGGTCTGATTGGTTGATATTGTTCTTCTAATGGGGTTGCAACCCCCTTCAGCTCCTTCAGTCTTCTCTCTAACTCCTCCATTGGGGATCCCATGCTCAGTCCAATGGTTGGCTGTGAGCATCCGCCTCTGTATTTGTCAGGCTCTGGCAGAGCCTTTCAGAAGACAGCTATATCAGGCTCCTGTCAGGATGCACTTCTTGGCATCCAGAATAGTGTTTGCATTTGGTGACTGTATGTGGGATGTATCCCCAGGTGGGACAATCTCTGGATGTCCTTTCCTTCAGTCTCTGCTCCATACTTTATCTCCATGTATCCTCCCATGAGTATTTTGTTCCCCCTTCTAAGAAGGACAGAAGCACCCGTACTTTGGTCTTCCTTCTTCTTGAGCTTCACGTGGTCTGTGAATTGTATTTTCAGTATTCTGAGCTTTGGGGCTAATATCCACCTCCCAGTGAGTGCATATTGTGGGACTGCGTAAGGGTATTCTGGGTCATGGTTGAGCAGGTGCCTAGAACCCCAAGACTCTGCAGACTCTGCATGGGATTCTGCATGAGAACCGGCAGGAGTTTGGCGCCCCCCCCCCAATCCAGGATCCTGAAAAGCAGTCCCGGTCTCCATAGAATTACATTGTTCAGTCACATAGGCCAGGCTATAGGACTCAGGCCCTAGAGATTTACATACTAATGAAGGCCAGAGGGCAGAGCAAATTAAGCATGCCTCCCCCAGATCCTCCCCAACCCTCCCCCTTTCTCCCTCCCTATATAGCTCAGGACTGCCCTGAGTTTTGGGGGGTACACCTAGATCCATCTATCATCCGCCATGACAATAAACCTTTTTGGAACCAAGGACTTCCTTACTGGGGCCTGCCACCACCAAAGCCTCTAGGCCACTGGAACTATAGGGTTCCTCCCAAATGTTGGACCCGCCACAGCGGTGGAAGCCCCTCCGGGGTCCCACCGCTGTGGCGGCCTCTAAATTTTCCCCACAGCATATCATGTATGCTCTTTTGTGATTGGGTTATCCCACTCAGGATGATATTTTCTAGTTCCATCCATTTGCCAAAGGATTTAATGAACTCATTGTTTTCAATAGTAGTACTCCATTGTGTAAATGTACCACATTTTCTGTATCCATTCCTCTGTTGAAGGACATCTTGGTTCTTTTCAGTTTCTGGCTACTATAAATAAGGTGTTATGAATATAATGGAGCATGTGTCCTTGTTATATGTTGGAGCATCTTTTGGGTATATGCCCAGGAGTGGTATAGCTGGATCCTCAGGTAATACTGTGTCCAGTTTTCTGAGGAATCTCCAGACTGATTTCCAGAGAGGTTCTATCAGCTTGCAATCCCACCAAAAATGGAAGAGTGTTCCTCTTTCTCCACATCTTCATCAGCATCTGCTGTCACCTGAGTTATTGGTTTTTGTTTTTTGTTTTTTGTTTTTTTATCTTAGCTATTCTGACTGGTGTGAGGTGGAATCTCAGGGTTGTTTTGATTTGCATTTCCCTGATGACTAAGGATGTTGAACATTTCTTTAGGTGCTTCTTGGCCATTCAATATTCCTCAGTTGAGAATTCTTTGTTTAGCTCTGTACTCAATTTTTAATAGGATTATTTGTTTCTTAGGACTCTAACTTCTTGAGTTCTT